GATGTACTCTTGCTCTGGAATGTGTTACTGAATATGTTAAATCTGTAGTGAAATGCTTCTTCTAAGTATGTGGTTATTAAATAAATAATTAACTGGGGGAAAATAAAAAAGAATAGGAGGTAGGAATTGGTTAGACAGTTAGGGTAAAAAAGACCCCGAAGAAATGTAGCCAGCTGCTTGGCTAAAAGTCATAATGTCCTTCGGCCTGTTAGCAATATACTCTGTTCCAAGGCCAAAAATGTCAAAAGTATTTGGGAGCTTGTATCTAATCCTTAAAAGATTTTGGGGTTACCTCTTCAGAGGGGGGAATGTTGGAGGGGAGGGAGTGGGCATGAATTTGATCAAAACACCTTATGTGCATGTATGAAATTCTCAATAAAGTTTTTGTAAAAAAATAGTAATAAATAAAAATAAGTAATTTTTTAAAAACATACACAAAAAATAAAATAAAAATATTTTAAAACAAACAAAAAATTTTAAAAGATTGTAGATTGATGGCCGGGTGTGGTGGTGCATGCCTTTAGTCCCAGTACTTGGGAGACAGAGGCAGGCAGATCTTTGTGACTTCAAGGCCAGCCTGGTCTACAGTAGTGAACTCAGATCAGCTAGGACTACAGGGAGACCCTGTCTCAAAAAGACAAAAAAAAAAAAGATTGTAGATTGATTCTGAGATCAAAAAAGGATTTTTGATCTATGACCATGTTTTTCAAACCTTTCTCTTGCTGTGACCAAGTAATAAGACAATAAAACTGACTTTGTCCCAAATGACATTTAAAATGTTAAAGAAAAAAACCCATCATTTATCATGAGTAATAAGAGTACTATTTAATAAAAGTGTCTCACAATTGAAAATGAATCTCTCAAGGTGGAAAACTGTGGGCATGCACGGCCCTTGAATTTGGCCCTATCAGCCTGAGGTTTGTAGGCCTTGGAAGAGAAGACAGTACACAGGAAGAAACAATGTAAGTGCCCTGCCAGTCTAATGAAGCAGTCCACTGCCAGGGCAATGTCACAGGACAGAACAGGGACTATCATCTCATCAATTCATACAGCAGAGCTCCTAAGAAAAGAATGTGAGCCCCCCAGTGATAATAAGGCAGCCAATGCTGACTTATCTCCTCGGGTAGTTTAAATACTTTTTCCTGAAAGTGAAAGTAAGTAATATTAACTATAAGTAGTTCCATTTCCATTCCAACAAGCCCATCCTAGGCAGAAGACTACTCCTTTCTACAAGACTACTTTTTATGTATAAGCTACAAGTGCTATAATTCATCATCCTTATATTTAAGAGTATGATACATATTTACAAGTCTATCAGTCAACCTAAGATGGCTTTGTTCTGAGCACAGAAAATGGCCTTGCTGAAGTCTTCCAGAATCTCACCTAATAAATACAGATAGACCTTTTCAATGTTAACAATACAGAGGCTTAACAGAGATATTTTCATTATGAAACCAACTTTCTAATTAGTTTTAACATTAAATTAAGTTCCTTTAAAAATCGGTTTTCAGAACATCACTAGCCAACAGAAAAATGCAAATTAAAGCTACACTGAGAGTCCATCTCAACCTAGTTAGAATGATACTCATCAAGAAAACAAGTAACAACAAATGTGGACAAAAGGGAACACTTAGTGCTAGTAGGAATGTAACCTAGTCTAGTCACTAAGAAAATAAGTATGAAGGTTCTTCAGAAAACTAAAATTAGGGCCCGGGAGATGGTTCAGAGAGTATTAAATTTTTGTCATGCAATCCTGACTACCTGAGTTCAACCAGCAAAATTCACATAAAAATCTGGATGCAGTGGTGTGCATCTGTAATCCTAGTCATCTCTATGGAAATATGGGAGGCAGAGACAGGAGAATAGGTCAAACTCATATGCATAATTTAGCAGTGGAAACAAATCCTGCCTCAAAAACAAGGTGGAAGGAAAGAACAGAGTCTCCAAAAATTGTCCTCTGACATACACATATGCTGTAACATGGAGGCACCAGAATGTGCATGTGAACACATGTTCACATACATACATACAGAATAAATAATAAATTGTTTTTTAAAACCCTAAAATTGGTTCTACCATATGACCCAACTGTACTGCTCTTAGCTATACCCAAATGACAAGTCAGCATGTAACAGAGATACTTGCACATCGCTGTTCATTGCAGTACTATTAAAAATAGCTAAGTTGCCTATCCATATTCATTGTACCTCAATTCATAATAGCTAAGAAAATGAATCAACCAAGATCCCCATTAACTGATAAATGGATAAGGAAAATGTGGCACATATATACAATGGAATATTACTCAATTGTAAAGAAATCATGAAATTTTCAAGTAAGTGGATGGAACTGGAAAAAATTATACTAAGTAAGGTCACCCAGGCCCAGAAAGCCAAATGCTACATATTACCTCTCCTTTGTGGATCCTTTGAATCTTTTGGTTTATATGCATTACCTGAAGTACATGTGAAAGTCAGAAAACTAGAAATGGGCGACATGGGACGGACAACCCTAAGGGAGGGGAGATAGTAAAATGAAAGTAGAGAGAGGGATACTAAGGTCAGAAAAGTTCAAACATGGAAGGGGGTGAGGAATGAAAAAATGAGGTATTTGTAGAGGGATTAACCAAAATAAAGGGTCCGTGAAAAAGCTGTATAGAAACCCACAATTTTCCAACCCAAGAAAAAAACTTCAATTAGAGAGGATAGTAGAACACAAGTAACATGAAAAGAGGGGGAATATACTTGGGGTTAAAGGTTTAAGTAGGGAGGGGGAAGGGATGGAGAGATGGCTCAGCACTTAAGGGCACTTGCTGCTCTTGCAGATCGGACAGTTCCCAGCACCCACATCAAGTGGCTCACAACCACCTGTAACTTCAGCTCCAAAAGATCCAATGCCTCTGGCCTCCCTGGGCACCTGCACTCCTGTGAATATCCACACTGATACACACAATTAAAAATTAATTAAAACTTTTAAAAAAGTTTTTTCAAGTGGGGATAGTGACATTGGGGGGGAGGGGAGGGGAGGAATAGTTTAGTCAAAACTAAGGTTACATAAAGAAGTCTTATCGAAATCCATTACTTTATAAGCTAATTAAAAATTATAATATGTACTCTATTTTTAAAGGAGTTTAACAGAAATACCCTGCCTGGATGGTCAATGCTGTTCCCAGAAGATATGAGTTGTTAAATAAAAATCTCTGTGCCAAGCAACTTTGATCCGAGAAGCTTTTTTCTTTTAATGGGTAGTAGTTAATGCAGAGACTCAAAACTGGTCAAAGTGCCAAGTATAAGTAACTCTGAGTCCTGAGTCATCTGTATCAATCTCTCACTATCTAAGGCTCAGGTGACTTCTTGGAAGAGGCAGAAGAAAAAATGTGTAAGAATCAATAGATGGGGAAGAGCTGTGAAATTTTGTCTTTTGGACATGACAGACCACTGCATTCACTCAGCAGCTGTGGTTTCCGGCATAAGATCTGAAGATCAAGTCAGTCAAAATTCCAACATGTATGGGGCTGAGGCCCCACCCCATTAAAGGAGCTGCAGTTAATGGTTTCAGAGGAGAGGAAGAGTCCATCTTCTTTAGCGAAGCAGCCACTCACAAAATGCTCATGCTCCTTATGGATAGCACTGGACTCAGGGAGTTATTAATAACAAAAACTAAAAAGAGGGCATGAAATTGGGAGGGAAATGGGATGGAGAGCATTGGAGAGGGGTAGTGGTGGATGCATATGATTAATATGCATTGTATAAATGAATGGAACTTTCAAAGAAAAAAAATATTTTAAAAAATCAAATTGAAAAACCTAAGCTACGGGACCAACTTAGGTAACAACAGAGAAGTGGATAAAGAAAATGCCGTATATATACACAATAGGAATTTTGTCAGTCATAAAGAACAAAGTTATGTTTGTAGGAAGACAGATACAATTAGAGAGAAACAGAGTAAATGAATTAAGTCAGTTTCATAAAGACAAATACCGTATCTTCTTTCATTTGTGGTTTCTACATTTTAAATAAATACACAAAACTACAGATGAATATGTAACTTGAAAGTAGAACTGAAACTACTTAGGGGAACAAAGGGGACTAATGGGAGGAGGAAGGGAGACACAAAAGGAAATAAGCTCAAAGTATACTGTATACTTGTATGAAAAGGTCCTTATGCAACCCAATACCAACTATCATGAATATATGCCAATAGGTAAAAATGAAGAAACAAAATCGGTTTTCAGGATATTGTGAAGTAATTGAGCTCTTATCATAGGAAATGCAAAAAGGAAGATGAGCCATGCCTTTAATCCCAGAGGCAGGTGGATCTCTGTGAGTTCAAGGCCAGCCTGGTCTACATACTAAGACTAGGCCAAAAAAAAAAAAAAGAAGCACGAATTCTAAATTTTTTTTAAATTTGCAAATGCACTTATGCTTTATCACATTACAAAATAGTAAGTAAGTGTATTTACTTGTTGCATTATCTAGCTCATGAAAATATAAATAAATCCATCATGGTGCTTGCTCACTCATCATTTCACTGTTAAGCTTCTCACAAAGTTAGCGCTCTCTCTCTCTCTCTCTCTCTCTCTCTCTGTTACAAAAAAAACTACTCTATGAACATATTATCACTATTTCCCTTCAAAATATATGTGTTTCAGGGCTGAAGAGATGGCTCAGCAGTTAAGAACACTGGCTGCTCTTGAGAGAACCTGGGTTTGGTTCCCAGCATCTACATGGTAACTAACAACTGTCCAACTCCAGTTCCAGGGGATCTGATGTCCTTTTCTGACCTCTTCAGGCATTGCATGACACCAGTGCACTTACACACATGCAGGCAATGCACTCATACACATAAAATAAAAATAATAAATATTTTTTTTTTAATGTTTACATTCCAAGTCAAGTAGGCAGATTATTCCATCGTACTATCTTGATTTTTACCCCCAATTCAATAGGAAAAATATTTTAATGTAAAAAGGGAGAGGGCTGTTGATGTCACACATTTACCTGGCATTAGCAGCTTTCAGATCACAGAAATGAGTGAGCAAAGCCCTTACAACATCATTGCAGACAACTTTAACCACATCCATGTGACTCAGCCTATGGCGAACCTGCCTGGCGATTTCCCAAAAGTCTTCCAGGAGCAGATGGTAAAGCTGTCCTTCGTCTCTGCTGAGGTTCCCATACCAGGAGAAGATGTAGTCTCTATAACTATAGTCGAACACTATGAAGAATAAACAAAGCAAGAGTAAGTCTTAGATGAAAGATGCAAATATCAAGGCAATATTTTTACTGGAAAATGGTTATTTCCCATTTAATAGTCATTGCTTAAAATACAGAAAGTAAAAACAGAACTCAAAAGAAAACAGGAGGATCTTCATCTAACCAGAACATTTGGGCCTGGTGACCATAAGTCCTACATTTTCTTATACAGTCTAATTTTTTAAATATTTGAACTTGGTGCCAATCTACTTACATACCATACAGCAAAACTTCTCAATTATCATGTGGACCCAGGTCATGCCCTCTCCAAGACCTAGATCTCAGTCCTCACATAAAGAACACTTCTTCCACTTTATTACACTCTAAGATGCTCTGCCTCAGCAACTAAAGGTAGACGCTGTTCCCATTTTACTACCCTATCATCTTATGGTTCATTCCCCTTTAGTGCTTGATCCCATCATACAGGACAGTGATTCTTCATATTAGATTTCACTGTTCGATTACTATGCAGTTTCTTTCTCTTAATAAAACCATAAGTAATATAGGAAGAATCCTTCATTCCAGTCTCATCCAGATACCACAGTAGTCTCAGCATCCGTAGCTTACTACCTTATTTGAAGATTTCTAGTCTATTTTCTTAATACTTGTTCTAGTTGCTTTCTATGCTATGACAAAAACACTGACTGTTAAGGTTCAAATAGCTCTGCCCCTCACCAACAGGGTCTCAAGGACTTCTCAAGCTCCTGAGAAAAGGGAAATGAGCTGATAAGCACCTTGGTCTTTGAAGTCAAGAGAAGCAGACTTTTCTCTATGGTTTGGCCAACACAGCAGGCATCCCCTTTGATCTCTAAAGAGGACAGGTTTTTAACAGTCCTGCTCTCCCACTTCCCCCTGCCCAACTTTAAAAAAAATACACCTTCCCACCTTCTGCAGGAAGCAGAAACCTCCCCCTTAAAAAAGACCCCAGCTCACGACCCAGGCAGACATTTTCCCTGCATGGAAGGGAATCTGTCCCATGTGTTCCTTTGCTAATAAACTCTGCTTTCTCCTGATCAACCCTATTCGTCATACAGCTACTATTTATCTATCACTGACCAAAACCAACTTGGAGAGGAAAGGATTTATTTTGTTTACAAGCACAGTCCATCATTAAGGGAAGCCAAGGCAGGAACTCAGGGGAGGAACCTGGATCACAGACCAGGGAGCAAAGTTGCTTACTGGCTTGCTCCCCTGATCTGTGCTTAACCTGCTTTCTTTGCAGTAGAGACCGCCTGCCTAAGGGTTGAACCACCCACAGTGAGCTGGGCCCTCCCGCATTACTCGACAATGGAGAAAATGCCCCACAGACATGGCCACAGGTCAGTCCAAATAAAGCAATTGCCCAACTGAAGTTCCTTCTACCCAGGTGTGTCAAGTTGACAACTAAAGCTGTCCAGCACAATACTGGATCGACTTTATGCCTTAAAATAAGAAAATCTTAGCTCTAGACTAGTCATCTAATAAAAATATGAAAATCATGTATATGGTTTTCCATTTTCTGCTAGCCATATTAATAAAGTAAAAAGAAGTTGAAATTAGTATTTCATATTAATGTATTTATATATGTAGAAGCCAACACTTAAAAATGAATATTTTACATTGGTTTTTCAAGTGAAACTTTGAAATATGGGACATATTTTGTGGTTATAGCAATCGCAAACAGGACTGGATGAGTTTTTGGTACTCAACAGCCACATGGTAGTTGCTAGGACTGACAGCACAGCTATACTTCAAACAGGACTACTGTAAAGTCAATGTGATCACTGCAAGAAACTAGAATGTCTGAAAGACAAAATGATACCCAGTGCATGTGATGACAACTCCAGTGCTCCAAGGGGGGAAAACATTTAGCCATACATCACTGCTTCAGCTTAAGGACACCAGGATTACTCATATTCTTTAAAAAATTATTTCTTATTTTTCAAAGTTTTTTCATTTTTCATTTTTAAATGCTACTGCTACTTGTTTGGCTAAGTTTAGATATGACAGTACTTCATTTCAGGTAAGTAAGTCCTGCTGTTCTTTGCTTTGTTTGTACACACTTTGTTCCCAGAAGTGCTGAGAAACAAAATGTAACTTGTCAACCAGATCTACTTCACACTTAGCATACAAACAAAAAGCATGCCTCTGCTGCACCAATGAGTACATCTTGCCCGACAGTTGGCTAAATAAGTCAGTTAACTACTAGAATTTGTAGTCTAATTCTTGTTCCATCTAACAATTATATCTTTTTTTTTTTCTTTTGAGACAGGGTCTCCCTGTAGCCCCAGCTAGCTTTGAACTATATATTATTCTCCTGTCTCTGTCTCCTGAGTTCTTGGTGGGTACCACTACACCAGGCCCCTAATTGTATCCTTTTTTTAATTTTGTTTTTTTTGTTTTGTTGGTGGTTTGTTTGTTTCTGTTTTTTTTCTGACAGGGTCTCCCTACTCCCAGCCTGCCTGAAAGTTACTATGTGGACCAGGCTGGCCTCAATCTCACAGAGATTCACTGCCTCTGCCTCCTGAGGGCTAGGATTAAAGGTGTGCACCACCATGTCCAGTGTCACATCTTTTTTTTTTTAATGTGTGTATGAGTGTACTGCCTGTATGTATGTAAGTGCACCTGTGTCATGCAATGCCCACAGAGGTCAGAAAAGGGCATCAGATCCCCTGGAACTGGAGCTACAGATGGTTGTTAACCACCATGTGGGTGCTGGGAATCAAACCAGGTCCTCTGCAAGAGCAGTCAGTACTTTTAACTGCTGAGCCATCTCTCTTGCCCCATTACATCATTTTTTAAACCACTTTATTTATGCTTGTAATTTGTAAAGAGCAAACAATTCCTTATCTACAATGAGCTACAGCACAAACACACATTATCAACAACAAATTCATATTCTAGCATGTACATATGCATAATATACATATTTCAATCAACTCTTTGATTGAATCTTTTTTAAATTATATATTCCAAAAGCAATAAAGTAAATACATAAGGATAAAATGGCACCATATTATCTAGTTCAAATTAATTTAAAGGCTGGGTGTGGTGGTGCGCACCTTTGATCCCAGCACTCAAGGGGTTGAGGCAGGTGGATCTCTGTAAAATCAAGACCAGCCTGGTCTACATAGTGAGTTCCAGGCCAGCTAGGGCTGCAGGGAGACCCTGTCCCCCCACTCCCGAAAAAAAATGTTTTCAGAGCTAATTATTTTTTAACATTCCATATCAACTAAACTTAAATAACTACCTTAAGTGTATTGTTACTTAAATTTTGTAAATATATAGATTCTCACTTTTATCAACACTAAGTCTATTATAGCTAGCTGTACTTTATTAAATATGCTGGTGCTAGGGTTTAAAAATATAACTCAAAGTACTCCAGAGGTACAAGCTATAATCATTACTGATATTCTAAATGCTTATATAACCTCTTAGCTTTCTCAGCATACATTTCAAGATTCCATTCAATATAAATTTAAGTGAGTAAATGTTTTAGAAAGTAATTCTATCTTTGGCTTGTTTGTTATTGCTGATTAGTAACTCCCACCAACTGCATAAACTGTACTCCAAAAAAATGCCTTTATAGTAGTCAACAGCTCTGATTTTGGTAGAAGATATAATGTTCAGCTTCCCTGAAAGCCATCTTACATATAATAAAGGAATACTAACCTTAAGAATGTAGTCAACAATGCTAACAGATATAGAAAGTGAGCTACAAAAGTCAAAACAACCAGTCAATCTCAATACTACTAGGTGAGAAAGAAAGGTAGCAGAGGGTCAAGAGAGGTTGGCTGAATTTTGTCAGTGCACACTATATGCATGAATTAAAATACTGCACTGAACCCCATAAAAAAGGAAGCGAATGCTAGGTATGGTGGTGCTTACCTTTAATCCCAGAACTTGGAAGACAAAAGTAGGTAGATTTCTGTGAATTCCAGGCCAATCTGGTCTACGCAGAGAGTTCCAGACCAGCCAAGGCTACATGAGACTGTCTCAAAAAAACAAAACAGGGGCTAGAGAGAGGGCTCAGAGGTTAAGAGCACTGACTGCTCTTGAAGAGGACCCGGGTTCGATTCCCAGCACCCACATGATGGCTACGGACTGTCCTTAACGCCAGTTCCAAGGGAATCTGAAGCCCTCTCTTGACCTCCACAGCATTGCACAACACGAATGCACTCACATACACAGGTGATACACACATTCACACAAAATGAAAATAATAAAATATTTTTTAAAATTCTAAATGTCCCTCAACTGATGAATCAATAATGAAAGTGCAGTAATTACAGTATATTTACACAACAGAGTTCTACTCAGCAGTAATGAAAAACAAAAGCATGAAATTTGCAGATACATGAAATTAGAAATTGTTATACTAAGTGCAGTAACACAGACTCAGAAAACAAGCAATATATGTTCTTGCTCATATGTGGATCTCAGGTCCAAATCCTTAGATGTGAGCATATATCCTGATGTAACCTCGGGAGCCAGGAAAATGCAAAGGAACCATGGGGATAAGGAGAAGAGGGAGCTCAAGAGAAAGGGATGGTAGGAAACAGGTGTTATCAAGGAGGAATGGGAAAAATGTGGGATACTTCACCTGGGGAGGGAATAGAAACAGATATACAGAAGGAGAAAGAGGACAGGTAAATAACCCTTAGGTGGTATGAAAATACATAGGGAAATGTATTAGTTCAAAAGCCTATTGAAAAAAATACTCATGTATGTGTATAGCTAAAGGCTATAGTAACAAAAAAAAAACAGTGCCAGGGAGGGGAATCCTCCCTTCATTTTGGTCAGAGTAGTCCAAGAGACTCCCAAAATAATACAGGTGATTGCCACAGTCCTTGATTGCCTTCCAGAATGTGAAGAAAGACCCTAGTGCTGAAAACAGTGCATCAATACAGGTGATTGCCACAGTCCTTGATTGCCTTCCAGAATGTGAAGAAAGAAAGACCCTAGTGCTGAAAACAGTGCATAGATGTTGGACTTGGAGCAACTGAGCTGGAACTGATCTGATGTCTCCCTGAAGACTACCTCCCAGGGTATCAGAAGATACTATGTAAACTGCCAAAGAATAAAACCAATCAATGATCCCATCCAGTCTATGAACTACAACAATGACCAGCTCAGCAAATAATTTCTACTGATGCAGTAGTGGCATTGTTATCTTAGGGGAAATCAACAGCTGTCTACTGCTCAATGGGAGGGAACTCATGTACAGTATTGTAAACATAGGCAAATACACATGGCTGGAGACATTTTCCTAGAAAAAAACCTTTTGTCACACTCCTAGACCAACTTAATTTCTTACTGTATTCTAAATACATATCCTTATATACAGATGAGTGTACCTCTTACCACTCATCAAAGAAGTGTCTTGTTGCAACAGATGGAGACTATTACAAAGTTCCACAACTGGTCAGACGCAGAGGACAAGTATCTGTGATATACCCATCTCAAGTGACACATCTACAATGCAACCTCTACACCTATGTTATGTTCTGTAACATAGGGGACTAGGGGGCAGAAAGAATATTAATTCATCTCTCAACTCTCACCAGCAAAGCTTCCCCATATAACAGATGATGATTAACCCAGAAAGATATATCTGGCCAAAGTTCAAAAAATAAAAGGCTGCAGAAAACATCCCTGAATAGGACACCTCTGTCACCCAGGGCTCAGAGACCATTGCAGAAGAGGGGGCAATAAGAGCCAGAGGTGGTCAATGACCACAAAAAAAAATCAAGTTTTCCAAATAGCTGGGAAGTTACTCAAATGAACTCATAGTAATGGTAACAGCAAGCTCAAGCCAGAAAAAACCCAGTATAGAAGTGGGAAAGTGGGTAAGAAGCCCCAACCTTAGCCATGGAACTATTGGCAACCAGTAACTATTGGGGGAGGGAGAGCTGGTTTTCTTTAAAGGTATGACACTAAATAGGATGACCAGACTCAGGTGGATGAATGCATACTGAAGAACATTTGGAGACATGAACTTGGCTTGATATGCATTAACACATATGACAAAGTACATGAAATCCAGCAAGGTGGGGTATAAGAGGTGGCGGGGGGGGCCTATAAGAGGGGAGCAGATAGGGGAGGGGAGTCTTAATATGATCAAAATATATTGCACAAAATTTTCAAAATATAATTTACAAAGAAAAATTAATAAAAATTTAAAAGGATGAATGCACAGAAAAAAAAAAAAGACAGTGAGCCAGCAAATGAATTTAAAAATAAAAATAAAATCTAATTAACTAAAGCTCTTACCCAAAGGCTCCAGGTAACATTTTCCTTTCAAAGAAAATCATTGCACAGAAACTAGCTTAAGGACAATGTGTTTCTGTCAAGTAGACCTCAGCTCTTTACCTATTACCCCACCACACATACATACACACACAACTCCTTCTAAAACAAACTGGTCCACCCAAGAGAAAAGGGCATGTTCAAATATAAATTTCTATGTCTTCAAAATTTTGAAAGGTACCACATTTTGGCTTTCACAATGGCCAAAAAGAGAAGCAACTCACATGTCCATTAATAAATGAATGGGTAAATAAATGTGGTACATAAATACAGCAAAATATTAATTAAACCTTCAAGAGAAATGATCAAAACACAGTTATATAATTAATTTTTTTATTAACAAGAGAGTTGCAGCTACAGAGATGGTTAAATGGCTTATAAACTAACCTTACTGAACCAAACAGGAACTATAGAAAAAAAAATTTAAACAGTGAAGAACACTCAAAAGTTGGTGCAGGGCCAGTGAGATGGCTCTGTGGGTAAAAGCACTTGCTGTGGCAAGTCTGACAACTTGAGTTCAATCTCCAGAACCCCAAGCAGAAGAAAAAAAATCTATTCCCAAGAGCTGTCCTCTGACCTCCACATGTGCGTTGTGTCATGTGCACACCTGCACGTACAACACACACACACACACACACACACACACACACACAAATAAATAAACAAACTTTAAAAAATATTGGTAAAGGAACAGGGTAGAATAGGAAATGGAAACAAACTGGGTAAGATACATGTTTATACAACTGCCCTGCCCCAACAGCAACAGCACTAACAGCAAAAGGCAGTGTAAATTTAGACACAATTTCATATGTTTTTTATTATCATTTAAGATGCCCCCAAACAGGAAATACCAAAAAGGATAAAGTCACAAAATAAATTCTCAAAGCCACTATAACTCTGAGCTATATAGATGTAAGGGTAAAAGTCTAAGAAGCACAGTGGAGAGAACCAGTTACAAGACTGTAAAAGCTGGGCAGGTGCTTTGATGTTGTTTTTGTAAATGGTCATGTTGTCAAACTGCGTTATAAATATTTATGCTTATATACATATATCTGTGCTGTTCTCAACCTTAGAGAAGCTTCTTATCACAGTCAGTAGTGGTTAATACAGGGACATGTTACTGTTCAAAGTGTCGAGAAGAAATGATTGTGAGTGCTCAGCTGAAGATGAGGTATCTATATCACCTCCACCAAAGGCTCAGAAAACACAAGAAAAGAGGATGTGAAAAGAATGTAAGTGTTGGAGGATGGGGAAGAATACTGTGAAATACTCGACATGACATATCTTGCATACATGAATTCACAGGAGCAGTGGTTATTTATACAAGACCTGCACAAGATCAAGTAAGTTAAAAATTCCAGCATGGAGTAGGGATGGGCTCCCAAGGCCCACTCCTAGCTGAGGCATTGATTATCAGCAGTTGATGGCTACTTGGGGAGACTCACTTTTCTTTAGGAGTACAGCCACTGGTAGGTCTCCCATGCCTCAATGGACAACCCCACACCCATGCACATATGGGCAGCACTAAATGGACTCAGTAGGTTTAAATGCATACATATATATATGCATACATAATTATAAAAGGATGACATGAATTTGGGAGGGAGACAAGATAGGGGGTCCTGGAGGAGCTGGATGGGAGGTTGAGGGGTAGATTATGATCAGGGTACATTGTATACATGTATAAATTTTTCAAAGAATAAAAAAAAAAAAAAAAAAAAAAAAAAAAAAAAGGCAGGCATGGTAGTGCGTGCTCATAAGCCAGAACTGGGGAAGGAGAGAAAGGCAGATTCCTGGGGCTCCCTGGCCTAGCCTAATCCTAGGCCAGTAAGAGACACTGTCTCAGAAAACAAGTGGATAGCACCTGAGGAACAACATATGACACTGACTACTGGCCTAGACACACACATAAAAAGGTATAAAAATAATCTTTAAAATCATGATGCTTTGAATAATAAAAGTCAAATTTTAAATCCAGTATGTTTTAGAAAAATCATTCTGGGGCTGGAGAGATGGCTCCGGGGTTAAGAACACGGGTTGTTCTTGCAGAAGACCCGGGTTCAAATCCCAGCACCCACATGGCAGCTAACAACTGTCCATAACTCCAGTCCCAGGGGTTCCAACAGCCTCCTCTGACCTCCACAGGCATTGCACGACACAGGTGCACTTACCTACATGCAGGCAATACACACATACACATAAAAAAATAATAATAAATAAAAATTTTTAAAAAGCATTCCTATTAACCATTAATCAAAATTATTAATTATAGTCTATAAAATTCTAAAATTCAAATTTCAAGCTATTTCTATACTTTCATTATACTTATCTTCCAATTTTAACATGCTGATTTTTGTGAACTATGCCAAGTAAAATATATATACAATTATATGTGAGTGTGTCTATATAAAATCAGTCCCCTCTTAATTCCTCATTCAACACCATCTAATCTTGTCAACTTATCACACCTGGGAAGAGAAAACCTCTAAGTTGCGGAATTTCCTTCATCAGATTGGCTTGCATGTCTGGGGGCATTTTCTTGATTATTTAGTGATGTGGGAGGGCCATCCCTCAGCAGGTGAACCTAGGCTATATTAGGAAGCTATCTCAGAAAGCCAGGAGAAGCAAGTCAGTAAGCAAGCGTTCTCCATAGCATCTGCTTCAGTTTCTGCCTCCAGGTTCCTGCTTCGAGTTCCTGATTTCCCTCAGTGATAGACTGTGGTCTGGGAGTTGTAAGATGAAATCAACCATTTCTTCCCCTAAGCTGTTTTTGGTCGTTTTGTTAATCACAAGAGACACCAAACTAGAGCCCAGGGATGGTGGCACCAGCACTCAGGAGGCAGAGGCAGGCAGATCTTAGTGAGTTCCAGACCAGCTGGGGTGACAAGAACACCCTGCCTCAAAAAGATCAAAAAAGAAAAAAAAAAGAGAGAAGCCAAACTAGTAGTCATCTGAAAAACAAGACATTTTTCTTCTGCGCAAATAACTGCACAAATCATCATCAATATATTTAGAAATTTAATTTTCAAAATCTTCTAAAACCTCACGCCCAGGACTGTAACTGCAGTGTATTGTCTACACTCCTTCCTTTGGCTTCCTCCACGCAAGCTTTACTGACATGCTCTTCACACTTGTGAAGAACACAGAGTGCTGAAACACTCTGTTGAAACTGACTTGTCCACGAGAGAGTCTGAGTCCTTTAGCCTCTAACACACAACCTCTAGGTTGTTTAGAAAAGGGAAGGGATGGTGAATAAACTATTTCCTGAAACCCATTTTCAGGAACAGAGAGCAGATCTATGTTCCATGTTGTAGATAAAGCTCTTCTTAGCTGGCTACCTTCATGGGATCTGGGAATTTCCATTCCATAAACGTTTAAACCATTTCCATTGATCCAAAACACAGATGTACTTAATCTTCAAAGAGAAACTCATGAAAAATTCTTAATGCTATAGGAAAGATAAATTTGCTAGAGATTATAAACTTCCTTGCAGAACAGAATGAATTGCTTTACCCGGTAATTATATATTCCCGTTCCTTAGTCCTTACCTTCTTTCAGGGCTTTATCCATACTATGAGAAATTACTACTCTTCTAGACTGAGCTGTCTCATGTGAATTTCCATATACAGGACTCTGAATTGGAAAGAGGAAAAAAGATAAAGATTACTGAATGAATAAACTACTCATGAAAATAAAACTTAAGATGAGGACTAACAAATTACAATCCTACTCTAGAAAAGTAAATGAATACTTGAAGTTATTTAACAAATTTTTAGGATCTGGGTGTGCTAGCACGTGCCTCTGATCCCAGCATTCAGGAGGCAGAGGCACAGGAGGATCGCTGTGAGAGCAAGGCCAGCCTGGTCTACACAGTGAGTTCCAAGCCAGCTGGCAGACAGGCTCTGTCTCAAAAGGACCAAAAAAAAAAACCCATCAAGCCTAACTAACAAGCTGAGTTCAAGCCCCAGGAACCACATGGTGGAAGGTGAGAACTCCAAAAGTTGTTCTCTAACCTTCATGTGAATGCTGTGACACAATTCTTCCCCTCACAAGGAAATAAATTCTTAGAATATAATTTTTTAATTGTTAGTAACTACATGATTAGAAGAAGCATTTCATTACAGCTTTAACATATTCAGTAACACACTCCAGAGCAACAGTACATCTCTTTCACAAGTGGCTGTAAATTTCTAGGTACACAGTAGAATCAATACAATTATATAATATTGAACTCAGTATAAGCTCTGTAAGACATAAAATTGAATGAGTTTTTAGCCTTTAAAAAAGATCT